GGTTAGGTACTTAAAGCGCTCGAGTTCTAACACATTTGTTCGACTTCCTGACAGGAGTTCCTGTTCCTGTCTGGATTGGAAATGATATAAAATAAATTAATAATATTAAATAATTTATATTGTTTTTAATAATTTTTTAAATTTATTTTTTATATCTTCAAATTGTAGTTTTTCCATTTAAGCTATTATAATAATAGCTCATCATTATTTTTAAAACCTTTTCTTAAGTATATATTTTCCAGACTTTTTTATTTTACATACAATTTTATTTTTTATAAGAAATTAAAAAAAAACGGGGCCGTAGCTAGAGGGGGGCGAATCAGGGCACCGCCATGACAGGCAAAAAATTCGCCGTAGCAGAGAATCCAAAAGTAATTTAAAATTTAAAATACTTTTTAAAATATAGCAATTTAGGAAATAATTTTGTTAATATTTTATAAAACAGCAACAAATTGACATCTAAAAAAAATATACCACTTAAAAAAATATTACCCACTCTAAATTTACTGCTTTTTTTAAATTTACTAGCAAGAAATATTTCAGTTTTTCAGAAAAAACATAAATTTGGGAAAAAACTGATTTAGTTTAATTTACCAAATTCCATAGTGAACCAACTTTTTTCTTACCTTTTTATATTTATTTAGATTTATTTTATTATAAAAATAAAGTTATTTGCAAACAAAGTTTATAAACTTTAATTGCTATAGCAATTAAAAAAAAACATATATATATTTGGGGCATTAAAGCAGAATAAACTGTATTTTGTTTTAATGCCGTAAATACCAACTTTTTATTTAATATTAATTTAATAAAAGTTAAAAAAAATAAATAAGGCGTACTTTTTTCCGAAAACTGAAACATTTCACAGAATAGGACACACGATTATTTAATTTTTCGGTTGGGTTAAATTTTTTTTAAAAATCCACAAAAACGTTTTTATGGGGGTAATACAATGTATGAAATTTACAGTCAAATCAAAAGGGGTCGGGTTCAAAAATTTCCGATTTGGTGTGAAATGCCTATAGCTTGAGCTAATTTAATCTGATGATGCCCTGGCAGCAATACACTGGGTACGGCCCTGTCATTAAACTTATATTAAATAAATAAATATCCATGCAGGAAAGTTCTTTAAAAAATTAAATAAAAGTTAGGTACTATTACAAAAAATTGTATTTTTTATTTCTTTATAATTTTGTTATAATTCATGATTTGTTTAGACTTACTTAGAAATTACACAAATATACAGGGTGTCTCGAAAATGACGCAGGATGTAATTTTAAAACAAAATATGGTGGTTTTAGAGTTATTAAGCTGACAATAATTTAAGGCAGCTGAGGAAAAAATACGTAAATTGTGCGATATGGTAGAAAGATTTTTTCATACTTCATTACGATCGTCATTATAACATATATAACTTCTAAAACCTAACGCAAAACAAACCACTATTGTATTTTAACAAAAACACTTGTTGCTGTAAGGTTAACCTTAAACATAATTATGTTTGGTTTAATAGTATGGATAAAACGGATACCCGGTAACTATAGTTATATATCCGGTATCCTTCCTAAATTTACTATCCGGTTGGATACTGGATATTCGAAAAACTCCAATTTATAAAATCAACTGCAATACATAAATATTTTGATTGATATTGTTTTGACTGGCTTTGTTGTTTGGATGGATATAATTTTTAACTCTGCATGTATTTTCTAAGCCGATTTAAAATCATCTAAAAGCGGTTGTTATGGAAAAATATACAACGCATCTCTAGCGTCTAGAACGTTAACTTTTTATTTTTGAAACGTCACACAGTGGGCTGGAGAGCCAATTTATCGCGCAGAAATTATTTGGTAAAGTAATTCTTAGTTAATATTAATTTTTTGGTCTTATTGATGAAATTTTAATAAAAATTACTTTCTACTACCAATATAAAAACAAAACCACAATATAATACTTTAACAACAAAAGTATATTTGTGTGATGGCAAAATTAAGATCTATAGTTTTAATGACTAAATTAAAAAAATATAACTGAACATTTATAAAATAAAACCTAATTGTTACGTATGACAGTATTTTATACAATAATATTACTTCTGGCCTTTCAGCGTTTTTCTATATTTTTTACAAAAATTAAATTTTTGAATTAAGTTTTTTCCGAGATCCATTTATTTTTGAAAATGCATAGTCTCCTAAGTAATTTAAAACCAACTTTCTATTAAAATGCTTCAAACAAAAAATATTTGTGGCGCCTACTAGTACTTGATTTTAGATTTATTTAAAAGACAGAACAGTAAGCTATTAAAAACACTTAACAGAGAGTGTGAGAATGCGTGACATTTTTTAAAACGTTAGTATTGTACATACATAAAAAATATGTAGCGCTTTCTTTATTGACGTAGGGACAGTACAATAATTATAAAAACTTAGCATTATTTGTTTCAGCCATAACGTAGGGCAGTATTGAATACAATGATGGTCAAAAATTAAAAATAAATTAGGAATTAACATTGTAAGAGAAGCAAAACCTTCACCCGCAATTTACCAACACAAAGCAAGTAATTATAATTTTTAAACTTTGACTGGTTACCTGATAAAAATTCAACAGATTTAAAGGTGATATTACATTATTTGATTTGCTACAGATATTAAAGAATTCAAAATTCACTAAATTTTGTCGAAATAAAACACTTACTCATTTTAAATTTTCGCGCGCTGGAAGCGCTCTCTAGCCTACCGCGGTGGTGGCCAAAAGTATTAATATTCACTAATAGTTATCAGTAATTAATTCAAAATTATTTATTGTTATTAGTAGCTTTTTAATTGATGGTTTCCATCACCAATGTATGACAATATTTAATACAATGATATTTGTTCTGGGCTTCCAGCGTTTTTCCATATTAAAAAAAAATTGAATTAATTTTTTTTTCGAGATACATCTATTTTTGTAAATGCGTAGTCTACTAAGTAATTTAAAACTAATTTTATATTGAAATGCTTCAAACTAAAACACTTTTCACAAAGCTCCGTATGAGTCAGGGATAATGTATTAACTGAAAAAAATAAACAAACCATATTTGTTGCGCCTACTAGCACTTGATTTAAGATTTATTTGAAAGACAGAACGGTAAGCTATTAAAAAAATCTAAACACAGAGTGTGACAGTGAGTGACATTTTTTAAAACCTTAATAATGTCCATACATACATTAAAAGTATGCAGCGGTTACTTTATTAAGGTAGTGAGAGTACAATAATAATAAAAACTAACCATTATTCGTTCCAGCCATAACGTATGACAATATTTCATACAATTATAGTCAAAAAGTAATAATAAATTAATAATAAACATTGTAAGAGAAGCAATACCTTTACGGGCAATTTATCAACACGAAGCAAGTAATTATAATTCCTAAACTTTGACTGGTTACCTGATAAAAATTCAACAGATTTGAAGGTGATTTAAAGATGTTTCATTATCTACAGATATTAAAGAATTCAAAATTCCCTAAATTTGGTCGAAATAAAACACTTACTTATTTTGAATTTCTTCGCGCTGGAAGCGCGCTCTAGCCTACTGTGGCGTCATTAGAAAATTGTACTTAATCCTTTTATATAAATATGTATTTAAAGAAATTAAAATAAAGAATATTTTTAATTTAATTTTTACACCCTTATAATTTAAAAACTTTGGTAATTTTTGTTATACTTAAAATAAGCCTCCTTACAACGTTGTATTTGGACACATTGTATATGTAAACAACTGTTCTTATCCAATCCCTCACGATTCTGCCCGAATCTACCTGACCTTCTTAACTCACGCCAAGTATTCAACCGCCGGATATCCGGCTTCGAATATTGCCGGATATTCGGTATCCGGCCAAATAACTATCCGTTTCTCCAATCATAACTTTTTAATTTTTATTTTTAAAACGTCCTTAAAAATGTTTTTTATCATTTACCTTGGCGTTGGTCTGAGGGAACCTTAAATAGTCCAAAACATTAATGCTGGATTTATGCAGCACAATTTAACATTAACTTTAGCATTAAGTTAACATTAAGAGATGGACAACTTTTATCTTCTTAATGATAATGTTAATTTTTATTTCTCCTGCGCAGGTTTGCGGCGTGTCAGTAATGCCAACATAGGTACCCGAAAATAAAATGAAACTTACTGCTGAATGATTGAATTTTTATTCAATGATTGTGTTCTTTGGTTTATTGTTTGACGTGGAGTTTATAGTTTTCATTTATTTTACTTAACAGATGCTAAAACGGGATTAAAACAAAATTTAAACAAACCAAAAATGTCAGATGTCAAAATTATTTTAACTTATACGCATGCTTAATTTGCTACTAATTTTGCTGCATAAATACCCTCCTATTAATGTTAAATTAATCTTAATCTTAAAGTTAATCTTAATGTTAATTTGTGCTGCATAAATCCACCATAAGACAAAATAACATTTTTTATTAAAAAAAATTAATTCATATTTTGTATTTTTTTAAATTTTACACACTCTTTATTTAATAACAAAAAACTGTATAATTTTTTATTGTTTTATAAAAAGCAATATGAATTAATCATTTTTAGTATTTTATTGCCAAATACAGTGAAGTAACTTTTATATAAATTTTACAAATAAAAAATATAATATTAAAATAATACCATATATGTATACAAAATATATTTGTTTTTTTATTTAATTTGTAATATTTTCTCAATTTTTTAGAAATTTTTTTTATAATTTCGCCCTAGCTACAAAAAATAATAAAAAAAACTATAAAAATCCCTACAAACATCATTTTTATAAAATCAAAACCTCAAAAAATTCCCATTATCTCGAAAAGTCGAAGAAGAGTCAGAACCTGCCATCGCGGCTTCGTGGAAAGAAGATATGCCGATACCGTTACCAGCAAACGTCACCAAACCATCAGGAGTGCGGTGGGCACCAGCCTGCTCAGTTCTTCGCGTATCCTCACACAAACCACTCGTACGACAACAAAGTTAAAGTTGCGTCCGTGTCCAGCAGTTGCAGTAGGCTGCTCCGCGCGGTGTTTTTGTTTATTGCCCGGCTTGCTACGATTTATCGACGAGATGACGTCTGAGATGTGGAAGTTTATTGCGGTGAGTTGATGGTTTCATTATGTTGTTGATGATGAAGTTTATGGAAATTTATTATACTAGGTTTTGTTGTGAGAAAGAAATGTTACGGTTTATGGGAGATTTATGAGCATTGAGTTAACTGTTTTTGGACTTTTTTATGTATTCAGATACATATTGCAATATTATAATGATGGACAATTAAATTTTAAACCCATATTAATAAATTTATTGAATATTTACACTACTTTCAAGTAATGACCTATAACAATAATTGTTGCCGTTTCAACAAAATATTACAATAAAATGGCGAAGGCTCCGGGATATTAAAAGAAAATAATTACTTTTAAAATAAAATGCATGATTATTGTAAATTAAATTATTTAGAAAAAAGAATATTTTTTTAAAAATATAAAAATCTGTCTTAAGAAATCATGTGCAATTTAAAAAGTAGTATTAAATTATTAAGAATCATTTCTGATAAAAAAAATTAAAAAAAAAAGAAATTAAATAAAATTAAAACATTAACATAATAATAATCAAATATAAATCCTGTACAAAAGAGTTTAAGAATTGTTGGCTAGAATATTAAGATAAATATTCTTAAAAAATTTTACCTATACACAGGTATTTCAAAAAATCGCGGACTTAATAAGTCCACGGGAGTTATTTTAAGTATGCAAAATTAAAACAATTGGCAACACTAGGTATGTTGGCAACAAATTAAATAAGTTGGGGTTAACATACATATGTATATATTTTTGACGGTTTGTGTAAGAAAATTAAAGCATCATAAATTATTATTGTTATTATTAACAATTTTTAATTTTTAATTTTTGAAACGTCCTAACAATATGGTTTTTTTATATTAATAAATAGTCGTAAAACGTTAAAATAACAAAAATAAAATACAATTTAAAAAAATTTATAACTCGAAGACTACTTGTCAGAAAAAATAATAATCTTTTAAAAATATGTAAATTTTATAATAAAATAATCATTTGTTTATTATATTTAAGGGTTCTATAATATAATTAAATATAATATATCAAGTTTTATAAACGCCATTTTAGTTAAGAGTTTTATTCGACACGAGCGAGTGTTTAATAAAAACGAGTGCCTAGAGAACTTTATTAAACGAATTGCATACTATAGTATTTACGACAAACAAAAATAAGAATTTAGAGCCAATTTTAGTTCATAAATATTTGGCAATTGACGAATTTAACCTCACTTTTTACACAATTAATAGTAAAGCTAACTTCAGCCCCAGACTAAAATGCCCAAAAGCCATTGTTGTTAACTTCAGCCCGTGACTAAAACACCATAAAGTCACAGCTCGTCAATGTAGGAGTAGATAATAGTATATTATGTATCAAGTTTTATAAACGCCATTTTAGTTACGAGTTTTATTAGGCACGAGCGAAGCTTGCGAGCGAGTGTTTAATAAAAACGAGTGTCTATAGAAGTTTATAAAACGAGTTGCATACTACACTTTATCTAAGACGAACAGAAATAAGAATTTAAAGACAATTTTATTTCATAAAATTTGACATTTAACAAATTTAACCTCACTTTTTCGCAATTTATAATAAAGCTAACTTCATCCCGTGACTAATATGCCCAAAAGCCACTGTTATTAACTTCAGCCCGTGACTAAAATACCATAAAGTCACAACTCGTCAATGTAGGAGTAGATAATAGTATATTATGTATCAAGTTTGATAAATGCCATTTTATACACGAATTTAATTTAGGCACGAGCGAGCTTGCGAGCGAGTGCTTAAATTAATGAGTGTATAGAAAAGTTTATAAACGAGGTGCTTGCTATACTTTTTCTACGACAAATACTTATTATTATCTTAAAATGATTTAAATCAAAAATTTGTATAGAGCGCCATCTATAAAACAACAGGGGAAACTGTCAAATGTCACATTTTTACATTTTATAAATACAATTATAAAGGTTATAACTCGAAATGTATCTTGAAAATTGACAGTTTTTCACAGTTAAAGTAAGGGAAATGTTTTATGAGGACTTTACAGTAGAGTCCGTGCCCGAATTTAAGTTATAGTTTACTGCCGGCGAAATTAAAAGGTCAGTACAATGTTTATATAAACTTTTCAAATATTGGCGTTGAGAAACTATTTACTTAATATTTTTGTATTTTTGTATTGAGATAATAAGATAATTTTCACATTTAGTATTATTTTACAAGAAAGGCACTTTATCTTAACGATTGTATGACATTTCACAACTGTCAACTAACTTAAAACTAACTTCAGCCCGTGACTAAAAACCTGTTGCCAACTTCAGCCCGTGACTAAAGCGCCGTAAAGCCACAACTTGTCAATGCGTATTTAAAAGGTCACTTAGTGTCATGGAAACATGTACGATAAAGGGCGTTTTAAACCCGTTTGGACCAATCAAAAAAATTGATTCCTGCCATTTCTATCTAACCTCACTGTCCATTTTTAATAATTATTATTATAATTGTACGTTTTATGTGTGGTTAAATAAATAAAATTGTGCTTTGAAAATAAAACATTGCATGCCATTTGGCTAAAAAGTGTCTTTTTGTGCTTCGCTTAAAGTGAAGTTCAGTACAAAGACTTCTCAGCCTTATGACTTAAATAACTATTATCTTCAATTAAAAAACCTCCTTGACTGTAAAACTACTTTAGACTAATCGGGTAAAGTTTTTTACCTCCTAGGCTGTAAAAAACCCGTTTGGACCAATCAAAAAACTTATCTACTGAAAAACCCTACTTGTGACTTAAGATTAAAGTCGGCTTCTCTTAACATGCCTACTTGGATAAAGAAATAAAACTAAAACGTTACGAAGCGTTTTGACTTTTTAGTATAATTTCTAGACGGTTACGTAAAGAATGTAGGCAGGATGTAAATAACGACCTAAATCTATTCACTTAGACTTACTTATTTGTTGTATAAAATAGTATGTAAAGCGTGCCACATGAAATTATTAAATAAGCAAGCAAGTAATAAAATTATAAATAAACGGATGCTTACTTGTCTAATAGACAAGTAAGCATCCGTTTATTTATAATTTTATTACAATGTCTATATAATTTTATTACAATGTCTATAGATATTTAATTGAAAATACAGCTAAAGTTTATTAGGTTTTATTTTGGAATTTGACACTTTTTGACGTTTTTAGGGTTTAAATTAAAAAATAAACTTTAATATTATTGGTATTCTGTTTTATAGTTTATTAGTATATTATGTATAAAGTTTGATACACGCCATTTTATACACGAATTTAATGAGTGTATAGAAAAGTTTATAAACGAGGTGCATAATATACTTTTTCTACGACAAATACTTATTATTATCTTAAAATGATTTAAATCAAAAATTTGTATAAAGCGCCATCTATGAAACAATAGGGGAATCTGTGTGTCACCCTCAAATGTCAAATTTTTGGATATAAGGATATAAATCGATATGTATTTCTTGAAAATTGACAGTTTTTCACAGTGAAAGTAAAGAAAATGTGTTATGAGCACTTTACATTGGAGTCTGTGCCCGAATAGTTTACTGCCGGCGTATTGTATTGAGATAATAAAATAATTTTTACATTTAGTATTATTTCACAAGAAAGGCACTTTATTTTAAGGATTGTATGACATTTGACAACTGTCAACTAACTTAAAACTAACTTCAGCCCGTGACTAAAAACCTGTTGCTAACTTCAGCCCGTGACTAAAGCGCCATAAAGCCACAACTTGTCAATGTGTATTTAAAAGGTCACTTAGTGTCATGGAAACATGTACGATAAAGGGCGTTTTAAAGGTGGGAGTAGAAAAAATTATTTTTAATTCAATGTCAGTTTATTGAGAAATTGTTTTTCTTAGACAAGCATTAACTAAACTGTTGACACACTTTTCAGTTTTGATTTTTATATTTTTATACGCTAAATAATAATTATTAGTCATGTTTCCTTATAACTGTTCTTAAAATTGTTAATGACACACCAGGATATTTGACCGGAAATATTATAAACAATTATTAATTTCAATGAACAATTAATAGGTCAATTCTAAGCATGCATATTTATAACTCTACAATTATGCCAACTTAATAAATGTAACATCCCTGGTAAAACCTAAAAATTTACATGGGTCTACTTTAGGGAACAGACTATAACTTTTCGAAGGTTTTAGACTTCCACATAAAGCCTGGTTCATATAGATGCGACATGCGAATTTGCGAAATGCGAAAATGTTTTCATTGGTCCCTTTGATTTGGCGGGATAAGTGTTTCGACGTTTCGACAGATTCTGCGAATTCGCAAGATTTGAAATCTGGGGGGCGGGAATCTTGAGATTGATCCAATATTTTGCGAAAATCGCACGAATTTGGCGTGATACGCATGCATTAATGCAGATGCCTAATATACGTATTTGTTAAATATTTCACAGGTTCCAATTGATCTGTTTCTTTTTTTTCTGTCTTTGTTTCAACAATAAATAAGCGGCAATTGCACGCCTTCGTCGCCAATGGTATAATTGCCAATGGTGTAATTGTTCATCCATAATAAAAACACAAAATCTCAATTCACACAAAAGTTTTATAATAAAACAAATAGAAAATGTTAACCAAGTATGGCAAATATCACCTGGGGAGAAAATAATGTCCCTAAAATATCATGGCAAATATCGCCTAGTGAGAAAACAATGTCCCTAAAATGGTTCCGACAATTCGCATCTATATGAATAGGAGTTGCGAAATGCGAATATTCGTATTTCGCATATTCGCAAATTCGTAAATTCGCATCTATATGAACTCGTTATGCCATCTAAAAGTACTCCTCCTCTTCAAAAAACTTTTAAAGTTATTTTAATATCTCCGACTCCGAGAAATCCTTAGTGATCAAAACGATGAATTAAATTTTTACCTAAACCAAACTCATAACGATTTTTCGAAGCAATTTTACCTGGCTTAACGATTTTTGTGAAGAAAAATATACCTTTTGATGCAACAAAAAACCTTTACTTTTA